TTCTAGGTGAGTTAAATTTATGGATTCTTCTACCCTGACACCAAATTACGTATAAGAGTACTAAGAGTAAAATTACTCGGCCAGTGGTTTCTTCCAAATGATTCGCTTCAATGCAAAAATATATTCATCATCTTCCTCATGGCGGATTGCTTGAAGAGCTTGGCACTATGAAATACATAAGATAAAAGCAATAATTGGATGTGGTAGATATTATAACAATAGATAATATTGATTGGAAATACTTTATTGTTGTGTTCAAGGTGAAAGCTTTAACGAAAACAGAATTTCAACAGATTTCAAAGTTAATCAGACTAAAAAAAAAATACTTCAGGAGAAATATTTGAGTTGAACACTGAAAAATCAAATTTTCTTTCGAATTTATTGAAGATCGACTCACTCCATTATTAATAATGGAAATTATATCAGAAATGACGATTTTTTGTCCTGATTAAAGTATATGTGTTTGTTGAGCTATATTGTACACGTATGGAAACCATTATAGCACTATATGATCCAATGCATGAGAACCATAGAAATTAAACTGGACGGTTATGGAAAAACTTTTGAATGATATATGTTGTGGAAATAAAGATTGATGTCCATCAATTTTTCCTTCAAAATACGAAAATAATTTGAAAATATATAGGATATCAAGTCAACTTTCATTTTTAGTTGCGCATTGTACGCTATAATATAAAGTAGAGGTGAAGTCACCACTTTTCAACTATCCAGGTTCCGAAAATGAAATTGTGAAATCGTTATCTACAAAAATATTTATATGATGGAAATGAATTTGGCTTCTTGCTATCATAATACAATTGTTTCGAAAATGAAAAGTATTATTCAAAAGGAGTAGCCTCGAGAAAATTTCAAGAATAAATTTTTCGACCAGTTTGACTCAGATGAAACAAAGAACATATATTTATATGTTGATGAATCTGGTTCAATACAGATGACAAAATGTAAATCCTCATTACAGACAAAAAATCATCCATAAATAATGAATAAAAATCTCAACTTTAGCAAAATCTTATATATATATATTTGACTAGATTGACTGATTTCACAGTACATTTCTTACGTATTTGGAAATGATTGTAATAAGGGTTTTGATTGTATAGAAAATATCGTTTTTTTATATAACATAGGAAAACAATAATTTTCGGCAAAAACAATTTCAATGATCTTGAAACTTCTCGTTATATTTTTTTTCAATTTGATATTTTATTCAAGCTTTCACATGAAACTAATGCTGATCATTCAGCGAAACAAATGTAGCTATAAAGAACAAGCATATATCAAAGACTTTCAATATTGTGGACGTGTATTCCCTCTCTTCCTCAAATAAACTCCTTTGTGGGATATCATATGATTTTATATATAGGTTATACAGGTTGGTCTAGACTGTTTTACATTGATTCGATGATATAGAGGGGGCGCAACCGAATTGGCCCCCGAGGCCAAGTCTTCATCCGAATGCGAAAAAAGGGTATATAGTTAAATTAGCTCCCAAAATGAGTTGACCTCGAGAGCCAATTCGGTGTACTCGAAGTGCTCGTTGGGAACACACTCCATTCGTATATCCCATTTTGTAATTTGTATTAGTCTCTCCTTACGATGACATAAGTCAATAGTGGGGAAAGGTCACATCTTATAGATCGTGCAAGAGGTGCTCTACGTGTATGTTCTTCTTTCTTCATTGGTAATCAAGATAATCTTTAAGAGTCAATTCACCTATGCCTTGGGAGCCAAGTCACCTGTCATGAAGGGGAGGGGGGGGGGAACTGACCGCGGGAGCCATATCGACTGCACCGGATACAGGTTCATAAAATAAGGGTACTTTCCCCAACATTCCTTCAAAATTTCACCATGACTTAACAAAAGGGCCATTATTCAATATCTGAGAAAATATACATGAATGATCTATTCCAATTTTAGCACACACACACTTCTGTGAGATATAATTTTTGCCTTGAGATTTGCAAAGATAAACGTCTATACAGTCCAAGACTATTTTCGGTATTATTCGACCAGAGAATAACATTGTGGTCCAGCAGCTGATTTAGTTACCAGGACATACAGCGATGAAGGATTCACGGACATAACTTTTGAGAATTGGTTTTCCGGTCCAGAATATCTCAGCGCTGATGATTCTCTTTGGCCAATGCAAAAGGATGTTCATGATTGCAAATCAACCGTTGAGAAGAGCCTTTGTGAGCCAAGTAACGGAACACGTAACTAAAGAGACAGGTTTGCCAGATCCTTATAAATTTTCGAAATATCATCGATTGATTCCGCAAACGTCATGGGACATTCGTTTCATCCAAGTGCTAATGAATAAAATTCGAAAATGCAATATGGTGATGTTCTGACACTCGACGAGATTAGGAATGCAGAGATTAGGTGGATTCATCAATGTCAAGAGGACACGTTTTCTGATGATATAATAAAGACATTGGAGAAGAATAAGTCACTACGACTCAAATGTAGACTTCAGCTTTAGAAAATGGACTGTTGATATTGGATGAGAGGACAAACCTCACCCCTTACCTGACCGATCAAATAGACCATACATTCCTCATCGAAAACACCTATTCACTATTCTTTTGAATCAGAAATATCATGAGGAGTTCGATCACCAGAAAGTGGAGATAGTTATGAATGAATTGCGACAGGAATATTGGATCCTAGATGCTAGAGCTGCCGTGAAATCTATCTTCTCCAACTATATGAAATGCCGATTCCGATTATATGGCAACTACCTGTGATGAGCCTGACTGCAAACCTACGACGACCTTTCACGTATATTGGTATTAATTACTTCGGCCCATGGTAGTTAAAGTCGGCAGAAGATCAGAGAAAAGTTGAAAAGTAATATACACATATATGTCTATCCGAGCAGTTGTTGAACACTCTTCATCCACAGATGCGGCCATCTTGAAAATCAGACGAATGATAGCTAGACGGAGGAATCCCAAAGAAATGTATTCTGAAATTGCGAGTAACTTCCTAGGGGCCGCTGAAAAAATGAAAAGCAAGAAGAAAAATGGCATACGACCAAATAAAGTGATATCTCAACATGAGAGAAATCAAATGATGGAGATTCATACCACCATCAGGTGCACCCTTCAGGGAAAGGCTGATCAGGAGTGTCAAGAAAACATTCAAAACAATCTTGAATGGACAGATCCTGAAAGAGGGAACTCTGACAATTTTTTAGCAGAAATATAAAGCATGTTGAACTACAGACCATTGACGTACATTTTGACTGATCCTGCTTACATGGCAGCGCTGACTCAAAACCATGTTTTACTGGGTAGGAACGTCAAAGGGAAAGAAGCCCCCAAGTACATCTGAAGGAGACCGTTGTGTGCGAAAGGAATGGCGAAGAACACAGCAACTAGCGAACTCATTCTGGAAAAGGTGGACGGAAGAGTAGGTATATGTCAACACTATCGAAGAGAACGAACTGGACAAATGATTCACAACACAACGACTTCGTGGATAATAGAGAATTTTTTCGGGGATTCGGGGACCTGATGACAGGATAAGAGTAGCAGATATTCAAACCAGGACTGAAACTTGCCGGAGACCGGTTGTAAAGTTGTGTTGTTGGATATCAATCCTGATACTCCAGAAGGAGAAAGAATGTTGATGATTATCCGTTAATTTCATCATTAAATGTTATATTAGAGCCTGTAAAAGGAGCTTTTGAGAGTTGTCACCATTTGACTTGAGATTCAAAAATATAAACGTCTATACAGCCCAAGACTATCTACGATATTATTCGACCAGACAACAAAAGGATATTCATCCGCTTTAGTGGCGCTTATGGTTGCCTACTCTAATTGTATTTTTGACTTGTATCCTGTAGACGCGAGCTCATTTATGGAAAGGATGGATGCCAAATTTGGAAATGGTCAATTTTGTATTTCGTTAGATATTTATGTAAAAGTTACTGTTTGTTGTTCGCATTCAACGCCCTGTATGTGAGTTATAGTAGATTTTTGAAGATAATATGTTTTCTATGGAACTTCCCCTCTGATTCCTCTCGAATTATTGTGCAAAAAGTTGGACCACCCTGTATGAAATAGTGTGTTTCAAAATTAATTTTCTCCACCTCAAGCATTTCTTGGGCGATTCTCAAATTTAAAAGTATAATACCAAATGATTCCTTCTTTATCGAGTGAAAATTGTTCATTAGATGGAAAACCTATATCCTACTATAACCACAAAGAGATTAGCAAATTTGTTCCTGTATGAAAGTTTAGTTGGATACCCCACGATACAGTCTTCCTCGATCATTAATTTCACTCCACTTTGAGTATGAACTCTTTCAGGAGATTTTTTTTTTTAATCAGGAAGTGAAAGGAACCCCGTGTATGGAACAATTCGTTCTAAATTCTCAATTTCTGTCGATCTGTTTGTGATTGTTGCATGTCGAGATTTTCTAATAATTGAAAATTATTAGTTCGACAATGAAGAGTTTCTCTGATGAAAAGTAATTCAATGAAATAATGAGAACTCCTCAAGATGTACCTAGGTGCAGTGAAGATAATTTAAAGACACAAAAACTCATGAAGTTAACTTTCTCATCATCAATAAACTGATTTTATCTAATTGTTACTAATTCCTACCACATTCAAAATATTCACCGGTAAATGAGAAGAAGAACTGGCATTTTGAAATGCATAATCGAAAACTTAAAGATAAAAATTAATCACAACAACGGTACGTAAAATAACGTAAAAACTTTAGATCAGAACCTGATCATAATAAAAAACTTAATAAATGAAATAAAATTACTTTTAAGTATAAAAATATCAACGTGAACACACTATACTATATACAACGAATTAGACACAATTATTAACGAAGCTCAAAACAAAATTTCCGAAAAATCTGCTCCGAAAAAGTCCGATTTTTTAACGATTCGAATCGAGCTAACCTCACTCATCGTCCGACCTTAAACAAAAATAACTGCAACCAAGACCGCTATTTTATGTAGGGACCTTCGAAACTGCTTTCAGCAGATCCGAGCTGGTGCCTTTCTCCAAGTTCATTTTCATCGGGTCATGATGATGCTGGTGGATGGAAGAATGATTCTGCTGCTCTATTTTCTGTTGTTTCTCCTGTTGCTGTTGCTTGTGTCTTTCTTGCTCTTCCCTTTCTCTTCGAGCTTGCTCATTGATTTCTTTGACGGCCCTCAGTTCTTTTTTTAGTTTCATCCTCCTATTCTGGAACCAGATTTTTATCTGCCTTTCTGTCAGGCATAGCGCGTGAGCTATCTCTATACGTCTTCTTCTCGTGAGATAATGGTTGAAATGAAATTCTTTCTCGAGTTCCAGGGTTTGGAAACGGGTGTAAGTCTGCCTGCCTCTTCGCCTTGGACAACCGTTGGGTCCTGAAACAAAAGAAATATTTTAGGAAATGTCGAATTTATTGTATAAAAAAGAATATGAACTTTGAAACGGATACCACAATCTCGTCATAAAAGTGAATCCAAAAGGAGAACATGGAAAAAAATCCTTCGAAATTAAGAATTGACATTCTTTCTCAAATCGGATGAATAACATGATGTATAATGATATAGAAATATAACTTACCAATATATTCAGCATTGAAATGAAAATTGGAATGTATAGGAGAAGTATACTGGCATAAACTCTGATCTTGATGAGCTTGAAAACTTCCAAGATCAGAGTTTGTGCCAGTATACTTCTCCTATACATTCCAATTTTCATTTCAATGCTGAATATATTGGTAAGTTATCAGATATAATTCAATGTTCGACGTGGCAAATAGCCAGGAAAGAAGTTGTTTTCTGTTGAATATTCAGAATGATGTGTGCATATACATATTTTTGTCTGAAGGAGAATGCCAGTTCTCAATTTCAGAAGCTTTCATATTTTATTTTCAAACTCTTATCGATTCAATAGATATAATTCAATATTCGTCGTAGCATATAGCCAGGAAAGTAGTTGTTTTTTATTGAATAAACTGAAAAAGGGTTGATATTCTCATCACATAGAGAATGCGAATTCTCAATGTATTGCTTTATATCAATATATATATACACCCAAAAGAGAAAACAACTACTTTGCTGGCTATTTGCCACGTCGAACATTTAATTATATCTGTTGTACATCCAAAAGGAGAACATGAAAAATAAAGATCCATTTGAAATTGGGAATTGACAAATTTTTAAAATCTGAAAAATAATATGAAGTAGGTATTATGATATGATAATATAACCCACCAATATGTTCAGTATTGAAATGAAAATTGGAATGTATATAGGAGAAGTATACTTGTATATAAACTGTGTCCTTGATGAGCTTCAATCAATATTCGTGAAATCACGATCAATATTGGTTTCGTGTAATCGTCGATCGTGAATTACAAACCTAATTAGATATACATTTCAATGAAATCACGATTACTTGATTCAAAAAATCTATGATTCGATCATCAACTAAACTATGGTGAAGTTCTATCTCATGATAAAGTACTTATATTATGAAGCAGAATGATCAACTATAAAAATACATATTTCAGTCAGTTTTCCCAGAGATTTGATTGAAATATAGTTGATTTCGACTGCACCAACTGTAAGTAAGATGTAAGGTATATACATGTATATATGAAAAGTGCTCATGATTCTTTCCTTAATGTGTTGAGAATCGAAAATTTATTTGAATTGCGGCGATATACCTCTAGAGAATAAATCAATCCAGATATGTTGTGGTCTTTTTCGTACAGGCAAGGTGACTATGGTCTCGTATGGTTTCAAATAATTCTGCCCATGTATTGAATCCGTCGAACTCACGCATCTCTTCTATGTCGAAGAATAAGTTCAAGAGTTATACCTATATTATGATATCTATTAGTTTCGACGGTTTTACCCATCATATCAAACGGAGAATGAGGAAAGTGTTTGGATATACACAGGGTGTTTTCGATATCGATGAATGTGGTTGGTATACCTATACATATTATTTAGCATACAAAAAACAAAACGAGCTGAAATAATGTCATTGTTACGAAAAAACAAAAAAGTTTGAAAGATATAGGATATTTATAGGAAACGAATTCGACTGCGAAATATTTTTCAATTTCTATTACTTTATACAGGGTGGGTCACGGTCGATCGTACCTTAGACTTTTACGGAGAACGGCACATATAGGATCATACTGAAAACTTGGTTTCTCGAGTAGTTGTTTTTGGTCTATCGATCGAAAATATTTTCAGCAATGCAGCGTTGACGCCTTTACCAGAAAGCAACTTTGACATTTCGAGTGGAACAACCTGTATTTCATTGCATTTTCAGATTTTTCCTTGGGGTCTGGCGGCAATGAATAAAGAGGTATATAGGGTGTTCAAGATCAAGATTTTTCAAATTTAGGATATTTTCGTGTCGAAACTATTCATCATCGGTCAAAACGGTTCAATACATGTCCCTATATCTGGACTTTTGATTTACTATCTTTCGACATTCAATTGGAACAGGTACATGGGTGATCCAGTATTCTGAATTATGATCCACCCGGTATTTCAATTTAATGTCAGTAGACAGTAAATGAAAAGTTGAGATTCGCGGTCGCCAAGGTCATTGAATGACGTTGTCAGGAAGTAGGATGTTTTCCCGCAGTTTTTAACGTCATCACAACGTTATCTAATGACCTTGGCGACCGCGAATAGGGACATGTAAGCTGTTTTGGTCAATGATGAATATAGTTTCGACACGAAAAAATCCTATAGTTGAGAAATCTTGATTTTGAACACCCTATATCTCTGTAATCATTCCTGCTATACTCCAAGTGTGATACATTGATGAAGAAACTGAAAATGCAATGAAATACAGAGTGTTCCATATGAATTACCAAAGTTGCTACTACTTTTTGGTACAAGCGACAACGCTGTATTTCTGAACATATTTTAGTTCGATAGACCAAGAGCAACTATACTTGAGTTACCAAAATCTTAGAATGATCCTTTGTCTCTGGAATTATTTTGTAATCTCACAAACTTCCTCTCGTTCATTGGTGTCAATTCAGGATACATTTGGTTGAATTTTCTGCAAGTTTTGGCAATGATTTGATCACATTGTCCGTGTATAATAAATAACTTCATAAGAACTTCGTTTGAATAATCGATATTCGCGTTCATTCTGGGAGATTTTTTGAAACACTGTCAATAACAATTACTGAATTACTCATTAATGTCACCGAACTGTCATGGGTTGATATTTCCATGGCTATCTAAAATTAACTTTTTCATAAAATTATATTTTTCATGTCATCTAGCATTTTTATTCGTCTATCAATTTATTGAGTAAAAAATAGTGGGTTCCATTTGAAAAAATGAACTTTTGACCACTTGTATGAACAACGGATGTAATAATAATTTCAGCACGCCCTGTATGATATGGGGGCGACTTCTTGGTGAATATGGAGCTGCAAGCCTGTCCAAACCACCACTAAAATATCAACGAGAGCCCTGATTTTAGTTTTATCAGGATTTAGGTATTAGGTAAGTTTAATAATTATAGGGATAGCCGATAGAGATAGATATAGGGATTCATCAACAAAAGAGTATTGTAATAAAAAGGCAATTCTGAAAATTTTTTAATATACGGGATGTTCCATTTGAAAAAATTAAGTTGCTAGGACTTTTTGATAGAAACGGCAACGTCGCAATTCCGAAAATATTTCAGATCGATAGAACAAGTGATAAAATGTGAGATGCGAAATTTTCAGAAAAATCCTGCGTTGCGTTCTCCACAAACGTCTAACGTACCATCGACCGTGAGTTACCCTGTATAGAGGTATTTTAGTATCGTTATAAGGTACCAATATATTTCTGTTTTTCGAACTTCATCAGTTTACTGATATAGGGACGCGTTCAGGCAGAGTTACACTTCCGTCACTTCCTTGTTATTCTATTCCTGAATGATTTGTTGAAAAAATGTTCTTAACAGAACCATCGACAAGGTACACAAAATGAAATATACATCCTCCACAGTTAGTTTCCCTTGTTTTCTCAACGACTGACAAAACTTTCACAATAAATTCCACTTCCAGAAAGTCCATTATCTTGTTGAGTAAACCCTTTGGATATTTGCTAGGTAATAAAAAAGTTTCACGAAACTGACTTTCTTCTTTATTGTCGGTGGGATGCTGTAAAACCCTTTTTTAAATAGGTAAAAAAACGAAGAATTGAAGTGAAATCAAGAAAGTGTTGAACTTTCACCAAAAGGGTTTTTGAAACCGTAACAATATTTGGGTAACTAAGCCATTGAGACCATAAAATAAATTTTATTGCTCGCCGGGTTCCCCAACCCATAATAAAATCTCCGTCCTACAATTTCTAATCGAGTTTATGAAACAGTTTAAACTTTAGTATTTGATGGAAACTGGAAATGTGAACATATCTGCTAGTGTAATGGTATTTTATGTGTCAAACAGTGAGAAAATTTGAATGATGTGTGAGAATTACATCATGGATCCAATTCAGGTAAATCTATATTTTGTAATAGGTATCGTGTTGAATCTTTCGAATTCACCTTTACAGTGAATGGAATGTAAATGACAGGAAATATCTCTGAACCCGAGAGTAGTAGAAAATTGTAATTTTGCCAATTTTGGGGTTGTGAATTGACGTCACTGGTGCAGCTTTTTTCGATATTATGTTACCGATCAATGAGCTTCTTGTTTTCGGTATCTAGACTCGAATTGAGAGTCACACTGAATTCACAATGACTGCTATTCCGGACCCTTTTGATCCTTTTAAGATTCATATTATGATGCCAAATGGAACTCGCAGTACGTATTGAACGACTGCTTATTCAATATCAAAATTGATTCATTGAGTTTGTTACATAATTAAACAAGAATGTGAGGTTTCTGTGAGTCTATTGATGGTTGTTAAGGATCCTCACAAAGTCTCAAATTCATGGAAAAATGTGACGAACATTGCGAATGTTTTGTAAAATAAAGAGTCTCCTGGCAATAACAATGATGTTTTCATGTAATTCCCATTGTTACCTATAGGGAGACATGCATGTGACATTTCAAGAAATACAGCTATATATAGGTACCTATATACTTCAATATCCTTTGTCTCAAAGTTTTTGAGTACGATTTTCAATGAAATATGAATAAATAATGTTTTAATAAGCACTAAAACTATAGGACTGTCCAAATATACAGGGTGACCCTAAACTTACATAATTTGGCAATTACTCGTTTCAGGCATTTATTTGTCTCAATCGTCGTGGGACAAAATGGTATTGAAGTATGTACCTATGTAATTCTTGTTTTAATCATTTTACACCACATACGTGTGATGCTTTGTTGAAGTCGTTTCATCGGAAGGAACATAGAAATGATCAAATATACAGT